ATATATCTCGGCTCCTATTGGTCGTAGAGAGGCAAATAAAAAAAGAAAATGTGCGGAATTTCGTGAGCTACAACTTTCTTAACGTTTTTGTTTTTGATAAAATTGATACTTTTTGAGTTATTGTCAAAAAATCAAATTTTTGGGCCTTTTTTGCACCCTCAGTTTTGCTACGACAATGGTACGGGGGTGGACTTTTAGTACCTTCATTACAACCCCAAAACACACCCTTTCGCGCTGGTTACAGGGTATATAGTATTATTTCCTTCAAAGGTCAAAATTTCAGCTCATTTGACTGGGCTATTTTGTGTACAAATGTCTCCTAAGAATTTTTTAATGGCACTATATTTATATACAGTGTTGCGCTTAGATAATTCAAAATTATCTAGATATAGGTAAGATAAATGACACAAAAATGTATTTTAGATAAGATGAAGATAATTTATTTTATATTAATCTAGATAAAAGATGAGATTAAAAAAATTTGTATCTAGATAATTTTTATATAAGATGATTTTGTTTTTAAGTAACTATTTGGTAGTAAAACGCGCGCGCGCGATTTAGGATACAAAAAATATATTCATTATTTTTATAAATATTTCATAAATATTTTATAAATCTTTATCCTTTTTAAATATAAAAGTTTTTCGAATATATCATCTAATAAACGGTTTCTACATGGAATTAATATTTGTTATCTGCAACTAAAAAGACGTTCTACTGGCGCTGATGATGGCAATGATGTATTATATTTTTAAAAAATTTGTTTAATGTGTGGATATAAATTCAGAATATCTAATTCTTTTGATTTGTTTTCTAAATATGAAAATACTTCATGTCGCTTTGAATGACTGATGTCAAACTGCCCAATTGTTTGTCTATATCGCGAAAAAATCATCACTATTACTACTGAAGGTTGATTGTGTTTACATAAAAATTTCTTACAATACTCTTCTACAATCTTAGATAAATTGAAAAAGATAACTTTTTTAAATCTAAGATAAGATAAAGATAGTATATATTCTCAATAATCTAGATAAAGATAAGATAAAGCCATTTCTTCATCTAGATGATTATCTAGATAATTTTATCTAGATAACGGAAAACACTGTTTATATATTGTGTAACATGTACAGAATAAATTCTAAGATAATCATTTCTAAATTATAACTATTTTATTGGTTTAATTTTATTATAGCTAGTATAGAAGATTTATATTGCTTCAATTATCAAGAAAATAAGGACACACTACCTCAGCATGCAGGATGGAATTTCTTCAATGTACAAAGTGAATTTCAACGGCAAGGAGTTCCTAACGAGGAATGGTCACTTTCGTATTTAAATACTAATTATGAGGTAAAATAATATTCATTGTATTATCATATTGCATTTTCAACGCCATTAATTAAACTATCGATTTCTTTTCAGCTTTGCGATACTTATCCTAGGTACTTATATGTTCCCAGTGCATCTACTAAAAACATTTTATTAGGCAGTGCAAAGTTTAGAAGCAGAGGGAGGCTACCAGTTTTAACGTACTTGCATTCAAATAAGGTTTGATCGAAATAATAAATTAAACATTTGAATAAAAAAAAAAAAAAAAGTTTTTCAAATAAAATAACTTTCAGGCTGCCATTTGCCGCTGCAGTCAACCACTCTCAGGATTTAGTGCACGGTGTCCTGAAGACGAAGAAATGATGCATAATATATTATGTACAAATCCTAATTCTCGGTATATGTACGTTGTCGATACAAGGCCGCGGGTAAGTATATGAATAGAATATGTAATTTCTTTTCCAATTAAATATTAGATCCAATTTTATTCCTTTTATCTTACATCTTTTTTTTCATAAAATAAGACAATCAAAGAGCTCAGTTGAATAAATCAAAAGAAACAAACATATGTCAATATGAGCCAACACAAGTTATCCGTGTGTACTTTTATACAATTTATTCGAAATGAATATTAAAACGTATATTTCCGACCTACGATTAAGGTCTTTTTCAGTATATAACTAAATATAAGCCAAACTTGATATATTAGAAAAACGATCTGTGTCTAATAAAACGCATATTTCAGGCAGTGCAGATTTAAAACATGAAATTGCGTTTTATTAGACACAGATCGTTTTTCCAATATATCAAGTATGATATACGTTTGGCTTATATTTAGTTATATACTGAAGAGGATCTTAACCATAGATCGAAACGTATATATATTGGGGGAGTATAAATTAGTTCGGTCCGTTTTCCAAAAGATGATCGCCTCCAAAGACGAGTCATTTTTTCGAGATGGAATTCGAAAATTGTCTGAGAGATGGGAAAAAGTAGTAGCCAGCGATGGACAATACTTTAATTAATCTGTTCATTCATTTTGTTTTTAAATAATGCATTTTTAAACACAAAAAACGGACCGAACTAATTTGTACACCTAATATATATATATATTAGGGTGGTCGTTATTTTGGGTTGGAAAAATTTTTGACCGCGCACAACGCTTAATCGGTTCCAAATCACTCAAAAAACATCCCAGAATTTTTGCAGATTATTTCATATTTCCTTTAAAAATAGGTAATATTAAATTCCAATCGGGAAATTTTGAATTTTTTGCAATATTAAGCATAAAACAAGCTGTGACTACGTTGAGGGTATGATGTACTACTATGATGTACTACTACTGATGTACTACATATGAAGTAATTAAATAATTGAGCTACATTCTTTTTGTATTACGGAAATTGAAATTGGAATAAATCAAATAAGACATGAAAAAATATTATCCAGACCTGTTTTTTATAAATAGAATGTTTTAAGTAAAATTTAGCACATATAACCGTCACCAGATTTCATGCAAGCTAAGGAGTGTAATTTTCACAATACTACAACTTCAGAAAGAAAAATTACTCTTGGGAAGATAAGTAGGCCAATAGATGCGGTAAAGGTAAGGAATGCGATGCTCTACAGCGCAATATCGAATAACTTTTTTTGGAAAAGTTGTAGTGAAAAAACAAAAAATATATTTCGTTTGCCAGATTTTTGTTAAAAGAAACTTCCTAAAAAAAAGTTATAACTTAGTGAAAACTTTTTTTTTTTAATTGCCCTTAGAATTTGACACGCAGAAAGTATTGAAGAACAACTGTGTTAATTGGCTATATTTTTTGTATTTTATCGTAAAAATTACAGTTACATATTCAGAAAAATAAACGATTTTTATTAAAAAAACGATGAACTTCAACCTCTTGGCGGCGTACCAAAGACTTCGAATAAAAATCTGCAAAAATTCTGGGATGTTTTTTGAGTGATTTGGAACCGATTAAGCGTTGTGCGCGGTCAAAAATTTTTCCAACCCAAAATAACGACCACCCTAATATACAGAGTGTAAAAAAATTAGACCGACAAACTTTGAGGGGAAATAGAGGACATAAAAACAAACACATTTTGTTAATAATGTTTTTCTCTACGACGCTCCGTTTTAATATTATAGGGTACAAAATAGGAATTTTATGATTTAACAAAAAACAAACACAAGTGGAAAAATTAAATTTATTTCAATTACACATATTATTTTAATCTTCAAAAAACAATTAACAAAAGAACGGAACAAAAATGCGCAAATAATTAGCTCAATTTATAATAAATGTTCAAAAATTCCTCCATTTGCTTCAATACAAAGATGACAACGTCGAAACATTGATTCTCTCACACGTTCGAAGACTGCAGGAATATTTTGAATCTGATATGCTGCAGCAGTAATTCGGGCTACTAATTCTTCTTCTGTTTCAATCGGTGTCTCATAAATGAGAGTTTTCATGTTCCCCCATAAAAAAAAGTCTAGCGAAGATTGCACGTACTGTTTTTGTCGGGCTGTTTGCCCTCAATGCTGTTTATTAATGAAGCGTGCTTCACAAGGGTATTTTGTATTTACTTTTACTTTATTTTTATATCTTTAACTTTTACAACTCTTATTGATGAAGCATTGAAACAGAATCGTTAATCCGAATTTCGACGTTGTCATTTTGGTGTTGAAACAAATGAAGGAATTTTTGAACATTTATTATAAATTGAGCTAATTATTTGCGCATTTTTGTTCCGTTTTTTTGTTAATTGTTTTTTGAAGATTAAAATAATATGTGTAATTGAAATAAATTTAATTTTTCCACTTGTGTTTTTTTTTGTTAAAATCATAAAATTCCTATTTTGCACCCTATAATATTAAAACGGAGCGTCGTAGAGAAAAACATTATTAACAAAATATGTTTGTTTTTATGTCCTCTATTTCCCCTCAAAGTTTGTCGGTCTAATTTTTTTACACCCTGTATATATATGTACACATTTTAATATTCATTTCGAATAAATTGTATAAAAAGTACACACGAATAACTTGTGTTGGCTCATATTGGCATTTTGTTTGTTTCTCCTTTTATATATCATTCTTTAGAATTGGAAACAGAAAATATTGTTATAAATATTTTCTAAACTTTTGTAGAGATAATATTTTATTTAATTGATTTTAAAAACAAAAAATGTATATTTAATTCAACAAAAAACAAATAAAGGGTAAAGAGCCAATCGTGTAACAAAGAATTCAAAATAATAAAAATATTATAACGTTTTAACGCTGATCGGGTTATCAAATACTATTATCAATATTACAGTAAACAGGGGTGGGCAGTATTTGAAATATAATGTATTTAAATACATTTTTGTATTTAAATACTTCTTTTTAGTATTTTGTATTTTAAATTTGTTATAAATACTAAATACATCAGATTCTCGGTAATGCCCGGGAATCCGGGATCAAAAGCTAAAGAGCCTGTAATGGGGGAGTTCCGATATTCACTGCCAATGCTGAAACTATACAGTATACTCAAAAAAATTATATTTAAATACAAAATACTCAAAAAATGTATTTAAATATATTTTTTTAGTATTTTGCATTTTGTATGTAAATACAATTTTTTGAATATTTTATATTTTGTATTTAAATACAATTTTTTTTAGTATTTTGCCCACACCTGATAGTATAATAAATTATAATTAAGAAACTCTATATTTGAAATCTACAAAATTTTTTTGATAACGCAGTCCTCATACTTTACTGTACTTACATACTTAACTTTTTATTACTTTGACTATTTTAATTTATGTACTCCCAACAGTAAAGGATATGAGGACTGCGTTATCGAAAAAATTTTGTAAAAAATTTCAAAAAATTTCTTAATTATAATTTACTGTAACATTGATAATGATCCGATCGTTTGTTCTAATATTTTTATTATTTTGAATCAAAGTTTCTTTGTTACACAACTGGCTCTTTGCCTTTCATTTGTTTTTTGTTATTTTATACGTATAGAGCCTTCTATTATATATTATTTTTATATTTAATTATTTCAGTGATGACAAATGCTATAAATATATAAAATAAACGACTATAGGTATTCCTAAGGATATATACAAGGTATTAAAAACGAAACTTAATTCTGTTCATTAGATTAATGCCTTTGCTAACAGAGCTGCAGGGAAAGGATATGAGAACGAAAATTTCTATGACAATATTAAATTCCATTTTTTCGGAATAGAGAATATTCATGTGATGAGAACGAGCTTAAATAAGCTTTTGGATTGTAAGTATAAAATTTTTACAGAATTTGTATATACAACATCAGTTTTCTCGTATAATTTTTATGAACATGACACTACCGCGTCTCCTGATTTCTATCTATATTTGAATTTTCAGTACAAAGATCAACCTCTATGAGTGCATTCTTAAGTGGTCTAGAAAGTAGCGGTTGGTTAAAGCATATTCGCTCTATTCTGGAAACCGCTTGGTTCATTGCACGAGCAATTTTGAACGGCGTAAGCGTAGTAGTGCATTGTAGTGATGGATGGGATCGCACTGCGCAAGTGTGCTCTCTGGCCGCATTACTATTAGATCCATTTTATAGAACCATCCAAGGTTTTCAAGTAAATAATTCAATATTAAGTTGTCCAAATTTCTGCATTTATTATTCGATTAAATTTATACAGGGTGTGTCAAAAGTATGAAAACGGTCGAATATCTCGAAAGCAAAACTTTTTTAAGGTAAATGTTTCAGACAAAAGTTGTAGGGTTTAAAAAGATCTATTCGCTGATCACATTCCCTTGACCTTGAGTGGTGTCGCCAAAGCTAGCTCGAGGATCAAGATCACGTTTATTTGTTTAAAAGGAATCCTCTATTTTTTTCATTAGATATTCTTGTAGCTTACCTCGAGAACTTTTCAAAACACTATAATAAAAGATTTTTTATTAAGTATTTTTCGAAATACGTGGCTCGAAAGTTGCAGTACATCATCGGCATTGGCGTTACTCAAGGTGGCTAAAACCTCTTGAACGTTATTCAAGGTCACGATCTTAAGAACATTTGTTAAGATCAAGATCAGTATACGTGCAACAAAGTCTACCGATAGCGGATGTTAGAGAACAAATAGTAAATCAAGTTGATCTTAATGAAAATAACAGTTACCCCTACTGAAAAAAGTCACGTCACAAAATTACACAATGAAACCACGTAATTAAAACAGGTAAATTACGTAACAGATTGTTCCAAATCAGTACATGATTGTTTTAAAATCACGTAATTTGAAAAGTCACACAATGATATGTTTTTTCTTTTTATTCCTATTATTTAATTCTTTAAAATTCGATAACTATAAAATCACATAACAGATGATATTATGTCTAATATCAAATGATTTTTCAAATTACGTGATTTTAAAAAATAAGGTAATGATTGAGAACAATCCATTATGTAATTTACTTGTTTTAATTACATGATTTCGATTTTATGTAACTTTATGATGTGATTTTTTTCAGTAGAAACAACCTCCAATGATCTTAATATTAACAAATTATTAAGGTCATGAACAACATTCAAGAGGTTTTAGCCACTGTTTTGACACTATGAGTAACGACGCCAATGCCGATGGTATATTACAACTTCTGAACCACATATCTCGAAAAATACTTAATGAAAAAATCGTTTATTATAGTGTTTTGAAAAACTCTCAAGGTAAGCTACGAGAATATCTAATGAAAAATAAGGGGTTCCATTTAAAAAAAATCAACGTGACCTTCATCTAGCCTTGGTAACGCCATTCAAGGTCAAAGAGATGCCGATCAGTGAATAGATCTTTTTAAATCCTACAACTTTTGCTTGAAACATTTTTCTCAAAAAGGCTTTGCTTTCCAGATATTCGACTGTTTCCATACTTTTGACACACCCTGTATATTCAATTTCTCTTGTGTGATTTCAAAAATTTTTTGTATAGGCTTTAATAGAAAAGGATTGGCTATCGTTTGGTCATAAATTTAGTGATCGTTGTGGCTATGTTAGTAGTGATGGTAAAGAACTCGCACCAATATTTACACAATTTATAGATGCGACATACCAACTGCTACAGCAATATCCATATAAATTTCAATTTAATGAATATTTTCTTGTAACGTTACACGATCATGTACATAGCTGTCAACACGGCACATTCATCGGAAATTCGGAGAAAGAAAGGCAAATATTAAGGTATTAATATCTTTATATTGATCTCTTTCTTTATAATAAATATAAATGAAAAAAGTTAAGATGAATATAAATTATTATTTCAGATTGTCTGAACGAACGTATTCGTTATGGGGCTACTTAGCGAATAATATGAATGAATATATAAACCCAATCTACAGATGCAATCGTTATAATAACGAAGACACTGCTGATATTCTTCAACCTAAATTGGCACCTCAATCTATCGTGTAATAAACATGTAACTTGTGCAATGATTTATATGCAATATTATTAACCGTACAGCTTGAATGTAAACTGTGTTATTTTATTTTCAGTCTTTGGAGAGGCTTGTACTTTAGATTTGAAAATGGAATACATCCTAGAGAAACGTGCGAAGACTTAATTCTGACAATCCACGATCACACAAGTTCCTTAGAAGATCATGTAAAGCTTTTGTTAAAAGTATATATCGCAATTTCAAATCAAACAGATATTATAAATTTTAATGAAAAATTGATGTTTATCGTTTATATCTGAATTTTAATTTTTTTCAACAGCGAGTAAATTCTTTGGGGCAACTTTTAAATACCAGTAACACTCAAAAGAAGGGAAAGTATAAATTTGACACTAAATTCACGAAGGAATCTTTGTCAGATAGTATAATAGAGAACACCGCAAATCACGATGAAAAAACGAGAGCTAAACTAAAAGCAAATCAATTGGAAAATGAATTAAAGACAGTTGCCTTAGAATGGAAATCGTCTCGAAATATGGAAGAATGTGGATGCTCTACCACATTCGATGCTTTTAACAAAAAGGTAATAATTGACGAGTGTACTTTGTTAAGTCGAAACGATCCATTTATTTTGATTTTCTAATGATTATTTCATTCCAGCATCATTGTTGGTCCTGTGGTGATGTACTATGCACAAGATGCATGACAGTGCATACTAAATTATCTGGACATCTGTCACAACGTGCCGTACCCACGTGCAAATCGTGCTATCAAAGTTTTAGCATATCTACCACTAGTCCTTAAACGTGCAATTATACTACTTTATATTTGTATGCACGTTTTTTTTTTTAGCAAAATAATGAAGAAGCGTAACATATATATCGCATATATCAAGCATCGTATTATTCCAATTTCATATATTTAGTTTTTCTCTATATTTCTTTGAATTTTATTTCATTCACATATCAATCAATACAAACAACGTAGTACCTGATTATAATATATATATATATGTATGTATATATATATATATATATATATATATATACATATAAAACATATGGACTTATTTCTAACTTAAATAACTCATAAACACCTTAAAGTTCGTGAATATTACTCCAAATAATTAACAACAAATCATTGACTATCAACTACTATGGTACGGTCGATAAATGTCGTTACGTTTTATGTCAATGACTTTAAAACTACTTTGTCACTTTATTCTTCAATATTTTTATAATTAGAAAAAATTATACATATAAATTACGCAAATATAGATTAAAAGTTATGGGAACACAAGCTGACTTTTTTCACATTCTGTGGATAAATGCATACCATTTGTTTGCATTATACTAAAAATGGATTTTGCCATAGTAGTTGAAAGATATAGTTTGAGTTACATCAAAAGACATAAATTGTTCACATATCTTGCACATTCACATATATTACATTCTCCTTTTTTACTGTCTCTTATTAATTTGTTTCAATGTAACATTAAATATATAACATTTAAAATGTGAATAAATCATACTATCCTTTAATGCTACAACATTAAAAAATGTTGTAGTTAAAAACACAAATATATACTATATCATTAAGGCATTGTCCATTTTAAAAGAGAACACTCCAGTGTAAATTTCAAAGAATACAGATACATCATACATCACTCAGTACACAAAAGCATATGTATAATTCGAGAACAGTTTCCTTAAATATATTAATAAGATTTCGTACATGATATCAAATGTCAATATTCTTAGAAGAGTAATTGAATATCGCATCACACATTGCAGTGACTGAATTTACTAGTGACTGGTAACCCTACTATCCACAGTGGCAAGTGTAATGTGTGGAATGTGATAGTATTATATAAATATCTTAACGCGCGCGATAATACTCTTATTAAATTTTTTTATAATTATTCTTCTTCCTATTCTTTATTTGGTTTTCTTCGTCGTGGTCCTTCATCACTAATCGGTGCAGTATCCTGCAATGATCATATGTGTGCTTTATATAACCGCGAGAACCATTTATCATTTATAAGAAAAGAAGCATTGTATATCTTGAAAAACTTGAAAACTATGAATTGCAGTTCTCAAAATGCTTCAAGATCTATTACCAACCTTATCACTTTCTATTACTTCCTCTGTTCCAGTCTCTATCTCTGTATCTCCTATTTCTTCTATAACAGGTCTTTGTTCAAACTCAGAATTTTCGTTTTCCATGGTCTCATCGATGCCTAATCCTAAGAATGACCTTTCATCTTCTTCGTCTTTAAAATCTGTTTTGTCCTAAGATATTGAAAACAATATAAGTTATATTTTGATCTCACTTAAGTATCTTACACTTATATAACAATATCAACGATAAGCAAATAGCATCAAATGCTGGATAATGACTTGTACTCTGCTTACAAAGCAACTAATATCATCACATATTTATTTTAGGGTTTCTAAATATTTGTAAAAATAAACAATTTTCTGTATAAGAACACTTGAATTATTTTAGCTTAATCAAATGTTATACCTCGGAAAAGCAGCAAAAATACATTATCAATACTACTGGTATTGCAATTAGTATTAGATACACTGCCCACATCCATGGATGGTCCGCAGTAAATTTCGCGATGCGATTCCATGTACTCCACTGTATTAAAAATAATCACATAAAATACTATACTATATATTGTAAGCATACATTGATTTTAATCATATGCTAATTTATGTATTACAATTACATTTCAAATTCACTTTTAATGTAATTAAATAACATATATAATACAATTGTAATACATATGCTAGTATCATGTTTCAAAATCTATCATATAAGTATACAAATTCTAGCAGAGGAATGAAGCTCTTATTAATCCTTGAACAATAACGAGTAGGTCTTTTCATTACTAAGGAGTCAATGAGGATTATATTTTAAAATTAATTTTACTATTACACAACTTGGTAAAATATCTAATATAAATATTATATGTTATATAAAGAAAATTTATATACATTATTAGCGTTTGTACATATAATATACTTTAATATGTTCAAGCAAATATTTTTAACATTTCGTTCAGTCTTTATCTTTCATCTATTATACCTCCTCAAAAGCTCGTTTGCACAGATACCAAATGTAAGCTACAATTGGTATTGCGCAATACAAGAAATACAATGCCCACCATCCAGGCTTATAATTCATCGCCTTCATCATTCGACCCCAAAATGAATCCTGCATAGCATAATTTGTATACTAAAGAATTATTTATCTATTTTCAAAAGTAAAGCTTCAAATTTGACAAGTTGATTAAGTTCCAGATAGATACATATATTTATATAATATTATCTTCATGTATGTCAGTATGTTGCATTTTTATAGCAAAAAGACGAGTAAAACAGGCCGATTTTTGTTCCCAAAGTGCAACAAAAGTTACATGTATTCTTACGTTTTTGGATTGTTGAATATGATAGTGATACTTTAATCCATCTAAACTCATGAAAAAATGGTACAATTATTTAATTTCTTATATTTTAATATAGTTTTATAACTTTTCTCACCGAAAATCAAAGAAAAACTTGAAAATAGAACACTTCAAAAAATCTAAATCTCACATAGCGGAATCAATATGATACATAATTTCTTCTTTAAAGAACTTTGAGTCTAATTAGATATGCAATGTACAGTTTTAAGAATGTCAAAACGATGGATTTCCATATTATCATTGAGGTTCCACCTAGATCCTACGCGTTACGGTTTTTTATATAGATCTTCGCCTGGAATCCTATTATACTATCTTTTGCATTATAATTTATGATATAGCTAAATTCATTCTTTATCATCAGAATTTGAATAAAATACATTATTTAAATGTTTACAGGAATAGATATCGAATATAAGTAACGAACATGAGCAAAACACCAAAGAATCGTTGCTGCATGAGCAACAGTCTACTACATGATTACCAACTTCACAATTACATAAATGACCCGCTATAGCTGATAGATTAAAAGCATTTTTATCTACTAATGTATATATATAAATAAAATACTTATTGATTTTAAATGACGAGAACATATTGTTGATAGAAATACATAGGAGAGGATCTAAACTAATATTCTATTTTCTTAAATTAAAATGAACGGTCTCTTAACTTCGGATTTAAAATTCAAACAGTTTGGCTTTATATGATCAGCATAAGAACTAATAGTATTTTTTAATAATTAATTGATATATGCCATATGTATAAAGTTGAAATTGATTAGCATTAAAAATAGAAAAGTTAGTTATTTCTGCAAATTCCATTTATTTAAAAGTAATTGTTTTTAGACTTTCTTTCTTTATTAATTCTGCTAAATAATTTGTTTTTTTTCCATACTCGAGCATTAGATCAAAGGTAACACTACCATTTTCTCGTTGGTGACAAAGTTTAAACGTAAAATTATAAAAAATACACAAACTATCTCAAGAAAAAAAAATCTAACGCGCATCTAAGTAGAACCTTTGTAATGATATGAAAATCCATCAATTTAATATTTTCAAAACTGCACAATCTATGCACATCTGATGAGACTTAAGATTCTTTAAATAAAAAATTATCATTTTTAATTATATCACATTGATTTCACCATGTGAAATTTAGAATGCCTGAAGTGTTCTATTTTTAAGTGTTTCTTTAATTTTCAGTGAGAATTATAAAACTATATACAAGAAATTGCAATGAAAATATCACTTTTAATAGTAATCAAATTACTATTAAAACAATTCCTTTAATGCAATTTTTGATCATTTTTCCATGGGTTTGGATGGATAAAAGTCTTACAATCGTATTCAGCAATCCAAAAAAAAAAAAACCGCAAGCATAATTTCTATTGCATTTTGACGGCAAAAATCGGTCTATTTCAGCCATCATCTTTTATTACAGGATCATAGGATATATAAGAAAAAATATTTAAAAAATCTTTAGACAAAATACTTACATTTTCCTCAGCAATTTTAACACGTCGAATCTCAAACGTATCATCCGCCCATTTTTTCGCAACTTTTTCGTCATCTGTTATAATTATATTGTCAAAATATATATCAGGAGACATTGACCACAGTTCAAAACCGATAGCACTCTATAAAACATATTTGTATGTATCATATATAAGAATTTATGTAGCTTATTAAGAAACATTCTGTTTACTACATACAATTGGTAACATTTCAAACGGATGTTCATCATTAAAGTAATCAGGATTGTGTATAAGTCTAGGTTTCCATTTTCCCTTGTAATTAGGATTGTTGATAAGTGGCGGCAACCATTTTCCTTTATATCGTGGATTTTTCTTCATTTTCTGCTTGTACGGTCCACAACCAGGAACATCCGTACATTTTGGATTTGGTACTTCCGGAGGCTCCCATTCACCATCCATCTCAACATCCCAATCATCGGGCTTAACTGAATCCGGATTTGGAATCATGGGCGGTTCATCTTCGAGCCATCCTTCTGGTATAATATCTTCCTCATCAACTATCTGTGCTGGAGCATCTTCGTCCCAGTCATCGGGCTTTTCTGCCAACGGATCGGGAATCTTTTCTCTGTCATCCCAACCCTCAGGCTGTTTATCATCAGGATCTTCTATTTCTAGAGGTGGGTTTACAGGAGGAGCAAAATCGTCCAGTAATGAACCTAAGTTTTGCATTTTACTATCTACTTTGATTTCGTACATATTATCAGGCCGTATGATCAGAGTATATAAATGCGGGTTTTTATCTTTGAAATAATCTTCCATTCGATCTTTTGATTTTTTACAGTGTTTTTCTGTTATTGTACCGTTCAATGGATTCTTATGTCTAAATATAAAATGAAGCTGAAGAAAAAAAAAAGACATCAGATATATTATAATATATATACCAAGTTATATTCAAACTAATTGTAAGACCAAATTAATAAAGTGTTCCTCTTGCATACCTTGTGATCATTGCCACATTTATCGGGCCCGAACATTATAGTATACGGTGTTTTATCTTGGAACTGTTTCAAGTCTCTATTTTTATCATCTAATGTAAGCAACTTAAGATAGGCACCGCCACATTCCTGACCCTCTTGGAAATTAACTTCATATTGTACAACTAAGGGCTTGTCTCGAAAATAAAATGGCTTATTTAATGCAGTAGAAACGGCAGCATGTCTAGCTTTGCTTTTAAGCACTAATCCTAAATCTCCATCCTCGCCATGTCTCTTAGGTTCCTCGATGGACCAAATTCCTAACAAATAATGACAAGTTAAACAAATCAATTTTATCAAATTAAATTTACATGGATAGAATATTCTAGTGGTAATTAATTGACGTCATTTTGGTTAAATATTAGGGATATGCAGGGCTAATATTTGGATAATATTGTACCAATAATTTTGCTACTAGGATACACTAATAAAAGAATATGCAAAAATTGAATATTGACCATCGTATTTAGCAATGTCTTCATCAATGTCATCCTTCTTCGCCTCTGATAATATCCATGAATTCCTAAATCTCTCCTCACTATCAAAGTTTTCCGCTAGGTGAGCAAAATCGGAAGGTTCTGGACTCTTATAAATCGGCTTTTGTATCGCATCGCTGTCTTCATCCGCACTTAATATACAACACGCACTCAGGCAAACCAACACAACACAAATTATGATTCTTGCCATTTCATATTCCTGAAATAGTGAAATATGAAAAAAAAAAACGAAATGAGAGAATACCTTCACCTAATTCATTTAAGCGTGCCTAGTGACTCAAAAACACATGGCGAAAAGAACCCAATTAACAAAAAAAAAAAAAAAAAAAAAACAAAAACGAACATTAAAACAATTTTTCAAAGCAGATTATAAAGAAATTAAAATGGTATCCCTAAAATCAATGCACTTGGAATGAGCCAGTCATGCAAAACTTAACCTCAAACTTGCATTGTAGATACACCCCCCGCAGACACTGACTATGATCGCGACGTGACACATAATTTTGCATAAATTTGTTAGTTAAATTAATCCGTATCACATATAGCGATATCAAAACAGTAAATCATGAGTTCTTTTACGTAAGAAAAATATAACGGGAGCTAGTCTTACCGGTGGTATGAGAGAAAGTTAATTAGGGAATCCTCGGACGATTGGCACGGCGAGGACGCGTTATTCAATTATTTAATAATGATAATTTAATTTATCCACGTAAGGGCAACCCTGCGATGCGCTCTGAACAGGAGCGGCGCTTCCGGAAGTTGCCGGTGTGAGATCACGTTGAGTGTGGAATAGGTCCTAATTGAATTCCTAGTACTACTCGACGGTTCTCAATTCTCATGCGTCGTCCACCCAACGATGTTCGCAGAGAGAACGGCAATATTTATAATTTCGCCAACGATTCGTTATCGTATTATGTATTTAGGCCCGAGCGGTAGGTCCCGTCGCATCGTTTCACGCAACTGCACTTTTTACACCGTTCTACACCGCTGAGGATATTTAATTGTTCGAGTTGCTTGAATCTTCCAGAATTTTCGCACTCAAAAAAATGAGATAAATATATACAGTCGGAAATTGAAAAAGGAGAAGGCGGAGATTCTGAGTTCAACAAATATAAACAATGCGAACAGATTTATGATAATACGTCAGTTTCCGTTTTACCTACACCGAGAGTGCAGCGTGCGCAGCAACGCTCGATGCGACGCGGTGCCCCGTCCCGTCGTACGAAGGCCGAGTAACGGAGTCGAATATCTAGAAGCATTCGTGCACCATGGTGTAAAAGTGTATATTCAATCGTGTTGACAAACAATACAATTTTAAATCCGTCAAAGAAAAAAATATATATATATTTGTTAAATATTAATTCTTATAAATCCTTTGATTACACACTGTTCTTCCCTGCTTCCCCTTTTCTTCCACTAGAAACTTAAAATTAATTTAAATGCGATATATATATCTACAACTCAATGATTAACGTTTATTCAGTCTTCAAGGGCGGTGAAAAATATCTCGTGATTGTCCTTACGATCATCACAGCACTGAAAAATTATCCCAACGTTAATACAAACTTGTAACTTGCATATAAATTTCAAATATAATTATGGCATTTAAATACCTTAGTACAGCGATTGCTCCAGCTGGCATTATCTTTCCACTGTTGTAAAACCGATATCCCATCAGACTTCCGAGAGCTGTGCTAGTGCCTAAGAAAACTGTAACGTTGGTCGGATCCTGAGAAGTCTGATAAGCGCCGTATCCCAGAACTGATCCAAATAGAAGACCCGCGGCCAGCGAGGGGATAGAACCTGAAAAATTTAGCAGAATTGTTATGCAAAGCGTTTCAAGCGAGTAAAGAATAAGTGATATCAGCGATGAGAATCATAGGGTCTATTCATTTTAGCTAGATTTCTTGTACTCTTCGTCTTTTCTCTTTTTTCTTCAACATAGAAAAAAAAGGAGTACTATATAAGTTCAGTTAAAAAGAAAAAATCTACAGATTACTTTCCTTTTAGGAGACACTATACAATCCACAATTCAAGTACAACACACATCATGACAAATCAACTAACGTCTAAATTTCAAGCAGAATCATAGGGCTTATAACATATTCTCGTAAGACTTATAAGATCTTTTAAGTGCTTATACAATATCCTTCTTTACAGATAACTTCTTCCTAGTCGTAAGATTTACAAGAAATCATACATTTTACAATATATACACATAAAAATAAGAGAATACTAGTCATAAATTCATACAAGTTTTACGAAAACAAGTTACGAATTTTACAACTCTTAGAATTAATCCATAAAGCTATACAGCATCTATATACAGAAGATTATAGTAACATTTCTAATATTATATTACTGGAATATTGAAATCTTACTGAAATCTGTACTGTAATGAAAACAATTTCAACTTCAGAAATGATTACAAATACCAGTTTCTACCTATATAAATTAACTTCAATTTCGGTTCAACTTACTCTTAGAATAAGAAAAAAAAAAAAGTTGAAATAAGATCAAAATTAAATTACATTGATAACTGACGTAAGTCACTTTTTTTCTATCATTCGCGTTTCATTTTATAACGTCATTTTGACGTTATCGTGACTTGTCATTCTGCTTGAAAAGTGTCGTTTTATCTTTGTTATTTATTGAACAATACCAAGAAGACTAGAACGTCATTTGTGTCTGTCTCTCCTGAAGAGAGAAAGCGGACAAACTTTGTCAACAATTAATCAAACCACTCACTCGATTTCACGTAACCTAGCACTCCGCCACCAGCCACCGCGGCAGCGTACGCAAATGCAACGTAATCGATCGGCATTGTGTTGTCGAAAGAAAAATCGTCCCAAGACTCCACTGTGTGCCGTGTGACGTCTATTTATGTAATTATCGAGTGATAAGCACGAGATATCGGTTCCCTTCCGTATTGCTCCGTGCTGCAATTACGCAAAAATTATACGCGGGGATCGCAGTGGCGTAACTTCAAAATTTCGACCCGGGGGCATAACCTCTTGAAGGCCCCCCCCCATGCGGAAGGATTGTTTAACCGAAAAACGTAATTTTATATTTAATTTAACTTTCAAATAACTAGTTAAATAATTGTATATATTTCAAAAATGATAATATTAATAGACAAAATAAGATCTTTGCTTTAAGTTTTATCAAATATAAGTTCTGACAAAATTTTAGCGTTGACTGTAAAAATGGAATATCATGTTGAGTTTTTGAGAAAACCTCTCAATCGAAATTATTAAAACAGGTGTTTTTAATATTTTTGCGTTATAGTTATATACTTATATATCTGTCGGTATAGAGATATCCTAAAAACGACTTATAGAGTATTAAGGCAAATGGTTAATTAGACAACGCAATTAAAAATAAAATTAAATGGGCACGGGGCCGTTGCCCCCTCTGCCCCCCCCTGTAGTTACGCCACTGGCGGGACGGCAAACTTCTGAAAGAAGTTTTCCCCTGCTCTTCTTCGTGCGGCGTGCGGGTGTCACACCTGTCGGTAATTAATTCAACAGGGTTCCAATTGCGACAAACACATCCATATAATCGTATATTATGTGTATAGCTCGGCGATTTATATTTATATTTATATTTAGGCCGCGGGCGCGTCATGACGAGGGCACGATTTTTCGCAATCGTCCATTCAGTGCTGCCACCCGCCGTTTATCGGCTAATTTCGCGTTCCAATAATGAGTTTTGAATGATGCGCGTGTAATACGATGACGAAACTGCAGGCAATTACAGGCTTGTTAAACTAATTATGCATAATGTTCGTTACTTTATTCATTCTTCTTTCGTTTATGAATGTTCCTTTCGTCTTTTTATTATGCAAATATAGTTTAAGTAGAGAAAAATTATAAATAATTTTTTAGTAACGAAAATATGCTCCTTGCATGTAAATTGAAAAAAATTACGAAGAGACATTTATATGAATTATATATGGGAAAAAATTAGATAATTTTAGTTTACATATTCATACAATTTTCGAGTAGCGTTCTTTGACGTCATCTATTATTTTCCGAATGAGGGAATTTGTGATATAATACTTCAAAATTTAATAAACGAAAGTACAAAAAGAGACCCGAAATACTTCCGATGTGCAGAGCGACGAGCGCAGTTTCTATTTTATGTAAAATATGATTTAAAAAATTATTTTCATATTTAAAATCACATAAACAGTAAACTTCCTAGAGGCGTTGGCCATTTTTATCAATGTAAATTAACATTAGTCTCAGTTCAACTTGCTTCCCATCTTTTCCTAATTTTTAAAATTAGACAAATTCATTAGAGATTAATTAACTATTATTAAAGATTAATTAGAGATTAATAATGAATTAGAATTGTTAAAATTATATATAACTATATACATATCTTGTGTAGAAACAGGCATTAAATCCTCTTTTCCGAAATGACCGATTTTTTTTTTAAATTTGTAATTTTAATAATAATTATACTTTTTTATTCTCTTAATTAGGACCAGCAAATATCTTATCGATGTTATCAGAGTTGTTCCACATACAACAAAGATCACGCAAGAGATTTGATCGTGACTTTCGTTCTTTCCCAATTGAAGATATCTTTAATTCGATGACTGTATGACATAATTTATTGAAAAAAAAAAAATCTGGAAATAATTGAGAAAAGCTCTGATATTCGAATCCCTCGTCGACTCGCGTAGAAAACTATCGCACTTTTTTTTTTCCGCGAATTGAAAAGTCACGATCGATGACATCACTTTACCGCTCTTAACGTCGATAGCGTATAAATGTACGCGGTAACCGCCGATAGGTCGGACTTGCCGTGGGAATTCCGTGTCGGTCGTTCGATATGCTCTCGCACAGTTTGTTCGTCAACACTGGGAACATACTCTCCCTGAGCGAAGCGAAACAGAAGGCGAGTCAAAATTCGACGGATGAGGTCAGTTATCACGATAGCTATCGCATAACGTCGCGTTCTCCATAATTCTGCATCAAGTATACGTCATAATCGTGTCGCGCGACAGCGATCGATTTATTGTTCTTGGAGCCGAGGTTAGGTTGCGTATATACTTGCCGAAATTTCATCTCTAACGTCACTTCGTTGATACGTTTCAGTTGATCGAGACGCTGAAGATCGTTCTAAACGATGAACAAAGCAAGGGAGATGACGAGACAATTGTACGTATATGTGATTTTTAGGAGCGATTGGAAATGTTTTTCTGAACGGTTGATCAATGTTTTCTGTCAATTATAACTCTAGATCAACGGTAAGAAGGATACGAGTTTACAGGACATGGATAGAAAAGACTTGAAGATCACCGTAAAAGTATTTATTTCATCACCCGATGTTAATTCATTGAAAGAAGCATTGGATCAAGGTATTCCTAGCCATAATACATTTTTTTAAATAAGGTCTTTTTATTGAACTTGCATAGTTTTTCGTTTCACGTTGATACGAAAAAAAGAGACGAATGATGCAAGAAATTGAGCTAAAAGGAGCAATCCTATGTGTTTGTAATGTGTTTTATGTTTTGTAGCATTTGAGACACTTCATACAGATACTATAGAATCACTAGTAATAGCTTACAAAAGTGCTGAGAGTCCAGAAGATATGCTGTCATCGTTAAAAAAAATATGGTCCATCATAGAAGAATACGTAAAAGTTGACAAGCTGTCCAGTGTTGGATTGAGCGATATTAACACAAACACTTTCATTGAACTGTTCCAGTGGGCTGATGTAAGATTAAATTGCAAAGTGATATTCATTTCGATCTATCTTCATCCATATTTATGATGTTGATTTGTTACAGATAAAACCAAACATTGTACAGATTAATTTAGCTACGTGCTGTGTGGTGCCACCAGCCTTGCAGGAATTTACTAAAGAAAATGATATTCAGTTGCTAACTCATAGTGATCCCTGTCGTGAGTATTTTTCAATTAAAACAAAATAAATTAGTATTACTTTTTCCTGGCAATATTGAACTTTGAAAGCACCGTTGATTTTTTTATTATTAATTCTGATAGATAAATTTAAATCTGTAATATAAGTAAAATACAATCTAGCTTCTATATAATAAAAATTCATTAAAGTTTTTACATGTAAACATTTGTTTAGATTCTTATATACATCAATGTAAAAATTTATACTAAAGTTTGAAGATTCAGATTGCGATCAAAAAGGATAAAAGTCTCATATTGCGGAGGGTTAGAATAATTGATTATTAAGCATAAGATTAATTTTATTTTTCGGCATTCCTTTTTGTAGAAATTCTTCCTCAAGAAGTATTAGAGAATATATTCGGATCTACTGCCTATTTATACTGGCTGATAAGATATCAAATTCACCTCAAATGCCGTGGAATTTTATCATCGAAAGGGTACTTACTGCGCATTAACAAGTCTAATGTTAAACCTTAACGTTAGTAGCACCGCTAAATGTTATTTCTGCACGAGGTAATGTGTCTCATATTCTGTATTAACATGTTTTTACACATGAATAATTTACACTTAATTTTTGTGATCATGAGCATTTTGAACATTTTATTGTACATATGATATATGATATTATTATAAGCTTTTATAGAGTATTGCACTGTGTTAGGCGTCTTATCAGTTGACTTGCAAGTTTTTGTACAAATTTTTATAGCATGACGTACTTAGATGCGCATTTTCATTTTTATTTAACCTTTTGATTTTCTCAATAGTTAATCATTGTAAACTATATGAGAAATAAATATTATAATTTCTTGAAAAAAGGCCAAGTGAGTGACTGTCGAAGATATTTTCCAAATTCGACAATATTTTTATCCTCCGAGTTACAAGAGAATTTTTTTGTAGGTCACGCGCCATTGCCTCGTTCGATATTTATTTCTTTCTACGTGCAGACCATGCGAGATAGTTTTATCGTCCTCGAGCGGCTTGCAGCCCTTCGCTAGCGGTAGCCGATCGCGAGTCCGGCGAACAGTGGTGACACCAGAGGAGATCCTTTTCTGTATATACGCGTGTATGTGTATGCGTATCCCCGCAGCATATCGTCGTTGTTGTCGTCGGTCGGCCCCGATATATGCGCTTCGTTTTTTCCCTTTGCCACTACCGCCTTGTGCTGCTGCCTTCTCGGATCTTTCCCTTACCCGCCTGGGTCTGCTATTCTGCTCTTCTCGTTCCATTCCCCGTTCTCCTGGGAGCCCTCTTTTGCGTTAAGCCGCCACCGCGTGGCGCACACACACACCGCGAAGACGGCGACGAAGCGAAAGGACGGAACTTACAGAGGACCGCAAGGATAACGCTCTCCTTTTCTGCCTTGCTTCTCTCTCTCTCTCTCTCTCTCTTGCCGGAGTGTCGGATTCTGCGAATGAAATGCGAAAAGGCAGGAAGACCCTTTCAAATTTCTAAAGCAACACCAGCAATAAAATTGATAACGTCGAAATATTTACATAAACTACTATTTCTATTTTTTATGACAGGAAAGATAAATTCGAAGAGTAAACCAAGTAGAACACAGAGTCACAATAATAAAGTCGTAATTGTATCATAAAACGTCATTATGGCGTTATTTGATACTTAAAAACAAACTTATATCATAAGTGACAAGTAAGGTCGTAACGATGGCTTTATATCGTCGTAACTTTTGTGTTTTACTTGGAAAAATCATGGGATAATTGTGGCGATGTCGCTGTGTATAAAATTCGTTAAGGAGTACGAGGGCGAGGAGGTATCGAAGGGCGCGTCTCATGAGCGCCTATTTAGCGATCCACTGCCTTTTCCGCTCCCTCTTTTGTCCTTGTCGCGCGAGCCCTCCACCTATACACCACGTTCATCATTCTACCCTCCTCGTCCTTCGTTCTATACTCAACGGCAGCTCCTCCCTTCCGTCTCTCTCTCTCTCTCTCTCTCTTTCTCCCTCGAATACGCACACACATGTGAACGCGTGTATATTCCCTCTCTCTCCCTTTGTCTCTTTCTTTCCTTCATTCTCACAGCCACTGCGTTGAGAAGCCGGGTATGCGAGCCCCGCGATACTATGTTATGCTTGCGGATCGCGAGTCTGACATACTTTGTATGTTAATGCCACATAATGTCGGTTTTGTTCCTCTTTTCAACGTTTATTTGCTCAGCTCTCCTCTCGTTTGATCGCTTTTGTCGCGAACGGTGCGTAACCCTGTGCCGCGTTTCTCAACCCCCTCGTGGTATCATCTTATCCTTGTTTAATATTGAATGAACAACAAGGATAAGATGATACTCGGGAAAACCTTGGTGATATTTCCGAACGCAGTCCTGATATCGCTCTCATTCGATCCCGGAGGAGAGATGTTTAAAGCGACGATGTTTCAAGCCAGACGGCGAGACTCATCCGTAGCGAATCGCATGGAAGAAAACTATTATACTAAAAAAAAGATTTTTCCTATTAAGCGTACGAAATTGAATGTAAGACTCAAGGTCCATTACTTTTTTTATTCAACGTTGAGTTCGGAGTTAATCCTTAGTATAACATACGATTGGATCATTTATGTCCTGCATACATTTCTTTGAAAAACTGGGAGCATCAAGCAGTTATCCGTACAGCACATTTTATTCGTGAGGTATTCTGGAAATGTCCTTAGACTTTAGAGTTTTATGTTGTATACTTATAACATTTATATACATTTTTTTTTTAAATACATAATTATTTTCTAAAGATATTAAGATATATGTAAAAATCGCGTATAAAAATGTTTATGTATTTGTTAAAGTGACGAAAATTAATCTGAGACATCATCGTGTGTAATAAAGAACCGGAAAATCTGTACTAAGCAGAGCCGGCTTAAGAGGGGGGAGGGGGGACTAAGGCCCAGGGTTGGGCATGTATTTAAAATACTTTTATTAAAAACACCGTTTTTTCGCAATAAAAGTAGATTTTATATTTTATATTTCAGCGATGTACATGAAAGTATTACGTATTTTGTATTTAAAATTGAAAGGTTGAAAGCTTTATGTACTTCGTAATTTAAATAATAACGTTAATCTTCAATACTTAGTATTTAAAATACAAAATATAAAATACTTTCAATCTTTCATTATTAATACTGAAATACAAAATATAAAATACTTTTATACACTTCCAGAAAAAATACAATGCAAAATATTTTCATACGCCGTTGAAATACAAAATACAATTGTCTGACAATTACCGTTTTTAAATAAAAGTATTTTAAATACATGCCCAGCCCTGCTAAGGCCCCGGACCCTATCTTTTTTGAGGGCCCCGTTGTGCGAAGGGTGGCACGCTGTCTCGTGCCTGGCGCCCAACTGAATTAAGAGAACTAAGATTTAAATAGAAATTAAAAAGACAAATTAAGAGTCAAACATTAAAATTTCTTTAATCGCGTAGTCAAAAGATAAAATGAAATAATATAACATGACAGGAAAGTGAGAATAAATTCGAAGATATAAAAATATACATATATATAAAAAACAAGAACAGACTTAATAGAAAAATAAATAACCGTAATCATAAAATCTATAAAACTTAACATTTACAGAACTAAGATTATTGTCAATTAATAGTAAATTGTCGAAGAACGTAATAATAGGTTAAATTAACGAAGAATTTAAAGACAAACCGCACTTTATGTTCCTTAAAGTAACCTTTATTGTAATTGGGAATGCAGTTTTCATCGGAACCTAGCACGATTCCGGAACTGCACAATTTTTTTCAGTGGAAAATGCTATTACTGTTTCGTATCCGCGATTTGATTCTTGTTGTCTTTTTCATCCATCGAGGATATTTATAAACGTTTATCGGTTTATATCGTTTGTAATGATTTCACGAAAATGTGCTAGTGATACTTCGAAACGTAAAGCGCAGCAGAAATATGATGACATTAAAAATAAACTACCGAAACTAATCAGCTTTTTTCTTGCCGAAATAAAAACTAGAAATATTACTGCAAATGAAGATGACGATAAGATTGATGATCTAAATTCTAATTAATAAATTTGCGTACAATATAAATCAAGAAAAATTATTTGTATGTACGGAAATACCACTAAAGTTTCAATAAAATGTGAATTATTTTTACGTGTTTCTTTTGCAATATTGACAACTGCATTGTAAGCATAGACGGCAAAAGTCGTTTGACGAACAATCGTACTCGTTCGACAGAAAATGGTAAACATATTTCTCTATTATTAAATATATTAAAACTGGATGGAAAACAGGTTTTTTTTTTAGTAACAAACTATTGTCGGACTATTTTTCAGAAAAAAAGGAGGCTCCATTTCGAATTTCAGCCCCTGGGCCAAAAATTCCTTAAGCCGTTCCTGGTACTAAAGTAACTTAATACAGTCGCATAGTGAATAAAATGTGAGGAAAATTAAAATGTAATACGTGAAATCAGAAGAACATCAGTGAAAGAAAAACAAGAGACGGAGACGAGAGAAAGTTATTTATTTTTGTTATGCGATTTACCCTTCTGATTCGAAGATACGCGAGTAATGACAGAAAAAAAAAAAAAAACGCAATGAGTGAACTGAGAAAATATCGAAAACAAATTAACAGTAAAACTTCGAGTTATCAGTGAAGCTATAGTAAATTAGCGTGGACAAGGCCTCGCGGCGCAAGGAATAAACAGCTAGTAATTAATGAAGCCATTGAGGTGTTCGTAAGGTATATGATTAACGAGACGACGTGACGTAACATAAGTTACGAATGGTGCGACGGGTTAAAAGACGAAGAGAGGACGAAAAAGAAAGGGATGGAACGAGAGAGGATCGGCAGTAGCGAGTAAACGCAAAAGCACCCTCGCTCGGCCCCGTGCGATGCAAAGACGGGATATAAATAAGCGGCTGTCGTTTGCGGAAGCAGAAAACGGGCAAAAGGACAGAAATAAAGAAGAAGTCGAGGAAGAAAGGGAGCCAGCGACGGAGAAAGGAATAAATAAGTCGAGGAGCGAACGCGGTGGAAAGACGGAGAGAGAAAGAGGTAGAGGAGAATCGGCAGCACCAGGCCCCTGACTCTCAAGTCTCTTGTCGCTTTGCTCGACCAACGTCCCGATCTACTACTTTCGCGGTATACGACCGTCCTTTCGCATTGGAAAGCTTTTATTTCCGCCGTGTGCAGGAGCTGGCAGGTGTACCTGCGTCTCGTTATCTGAGGAGCCACCTCTCGAATCATACGACGGATTTTAGAGGTGTGTTCGTTGAGAACGAGATAGATCGCCAGATGCGTGAATAACAAAATGAATTCTAATTGTATAGTGGACGATTTTATGTCGATTAAGTTCCCATAGATTATTACAGCAACATTATAGTTGCAGAAAAAAAACAGCTTTGCAACTGTTGAAAGATTTTTTAGGCCCATTTCCACCAACGTAGATTAATTTTAATCTTTTTCTAACTTTTAGAAGTAGAAAAAGATAAAGAATAAATTAAGCCGGGATTACAGTTCATCTCCATTGGTGGAAATGGACGTCGAT